TTTAGCTCAGCCAGCATGGCTCAGCGGTTGAGTGTTGACCTATGAACCAGGAGGTCATAGTTCGATTCCCGGTCAGGGCACATGCCCTGGGTGCCAGCTCGATCCCCAGTGTGGGGCGTGCAGGAGGCAACCAATCCATGATTCACTCTCATCAGTGATGTTCCTATCTCTCTCCCTCTACCTTCCTCTCTGATATCAATAAGAAAATATTTAAAAAAATAAATAAAATATGCTTAGATGGAAGTTGGCAGGCTGTTGGAAGAATCTCAGCATTGACCTCCAGAAATCATTTTATTAGTACATCTAGATTGAGGTTAATCAGTTTGTGCTACCTAAACTCACATAATTTCAGAAATTAAAAAAACCATTTCATTAATTTCCCTGGGGGAATAAACTGGCTAAGTAAGCTAGAATTTTATGATTTTTAGTCAGTGGAATTACTGGTTTAAAGAACCCACATGTTGCACTCGCCTGAGCAGTGGGTTTGGGTGTACCAATTTCACTAAACTTTACTGATTGATGGTGGACACTGTATTTTTCTAAATATGAGTTGTCTGTTCAGATCCTTTGATCATCTATTGGGTCTGTATCTCTTAAAGCTTTGATTAGCACCCAAACATATGGTTATGGTTTTTTCTTGAAAATATTTTTCTCTAGTTTGCTCTTTGACTTTTTGGTTACTTTTAATTGTCAAATTTAAAATGTTCATACATGAATCTATTCTTTTGCTTTGTCAATGCTACATGCTTCCAAATTAAGAAATTTCATTGTTCCACAGATGTGGTAGTCAGTTTTTCCTAATATTTTAAAAATTTACTCTATAATCAGAATTTATTTTAGTATAAAGTGTCACATTAACTATCTTACAAATTACTGTTAAATCATTTTAACACTATTAACAATTTTCTCTTACCCTTCTGTTTTAGAAAGCCCATCTTTTTACATATAAATTTTGAGGTGCAATTAGGATTATTTCTGGACTCAATAGTTTTTGATCTTTTATTCGCTTTTTGTAGTTGTACCACTTAATTTTTCTATGTTTTATAGTGTGCTCTAGTATTTAGTAAGGTGAATTTCCTGTCTTTTCTTTTTAAACATTTTAATATATCCTTTCTATTCATTAAATTTAAGAGTTAGTTTGGCCCTAGCCGGTTTGGCTCAGTGGATAGAGCATTGCCCTGTGGACTGAAAGGTCCTGTGTTCAGTTTTGGTCAAGGGCACATGTCTGGGTTGTGGGCTCAGTCCTCAGTAGGGGGCATGCAGGAGGCAGCCGATCAGTGATTCTCTCTCATCATTGATATTTCTCTCTCTTCCTCTTTAAAATCAATGAAAATATATTAAAAAAAATTAGTTTGGGAGACTGACATGAATAATACTTAATTTTCTGTTCTGAAGCAGGGCATCTATTTTTTTTTTAAAAATTCATTTCTGCCCATGAATTTATTGTTTCTTCTGTCTGGAGTATGTTTTTACTGTTCTCCTTGTCTTCCTCCCCTTAAACTCTCTGCTAACCTACTTCAAGATTTAGGTGGTTAGTCTTCCTTTCTTTCCCAGCAAAGATAATCATTTACGATGTATTTCCATTATGCACTTACTGCTATTGTGGGGAAAGGGAAAAATTCCCCCTTTCCTCCTCTGAGTCTTTTGGCTGATTGAATAATTAAATCGACATGAGACAGATTGACGAGAAGTTAAATTTTATTTGCATGGGAACTCCACATACTAGTACATGAGAGGTTCAGAGTCAGAAAGGGAAAATGAGGTATATTTGATATTTTGAGCTAAGGATGAGGTAAGGCACCTTGGAGTTTCTTCAGAGTGTCATTTGCAGGATGATAAGAACAAATGTTCAATAATTAGTAGTTTGCCATGCCATATAGATAGGTCAAAAGAGGTTATTTCTGATCTGTTAACATGGGCAGGGCCCATAATTCAAATTCTTCTAGGTAGTTAAGGAGGCTGGGGCAGAAGTTTCTTTTGAGCCCAAGGGTATTGGTTGCCTTTAGCTCAAAATAATCTGCATACCATGGAAGCACATGTTGGGGTGACTTGTTCTGAACTCTTATACTACATATTGAGCTAACTCCTCCCTCTAGTAATTGTGAGCTTCACTGAATCTTACCCATTTTTTTTCCCTTTGCTTAACACTGTAGGTATGTAGGTATTAAATAAATATTGGCATAAAGGAGATATTTTACTTTAAAAAATATTTCTCTCTATGCTGTTAATTCTCTAATCTGCAACCCAAAGCTCTTTCCTGATAACTGCCTTATATATCATCTATGTTCATGATCTGTCCATGTGTATGCTTCTACACATACCTTAAACTCGGCATGTCCAAAACTGTAGTCCTCAACCTTTCCTCTCCCATTCTCAAATCAAAAATATGAAACAAGCCAAAACCGGTTTGGCTCAGTGGATAGAGCGTCAGCCTGCGGACTGAAAGGTCCCAGGTTCGATTCCGGTCAAGGGCATGTACCTGGGTGTGAGGCATATCCCCAGTGGGAGATGTGCAGGAGGCAGCTGATCGATGTTTCTCTCTCATCGATGTTTCTAACTTTCTATCTCTCTCCCTTCCTCTCTGTAAAAAACCAATAAAATATATTAAAAAAAATGAAACAAACTGTTTTCTGTCTTTTTTCTAGGGGAAGATTAAATGAGATACTGCATGTGTGGTAAGAATTCAGTAAATAGTAGACTCAGCTAATAATAACTTGGCAGAAATATGGGCTATTTATTGTCTTTTTTTCCTTTTCTGATTGATCACTGAGTCCTGTTGCATTATTTTTTCTTAATATCTCTTGACTCTCTGCCTTTTCTTTATCCCCAAGGTTTACTCCATGGTTAGCATCGTCTGTTACCTGGATTGCTGCAATAGCCTCCTGAGTGTTTACCCTCTTCCAGTCTTGCTGTCCAGCCCAGTTTTCCCACAGTAATTTGTCTAACACATTTGAGCATGTAACTCCTCTGCTAAACACCCTTTTTGTGTGATTTTTTTATTGCCTTCAAGAAAAGTCTGAATTTCACTTGGCTTTCAGGATTTTCATGATCTGGCTTATTTATCTTTTCATCCTTTTTCACTTTCTCCCTTTGCCTCCAGTGCATAGTCATATTCAGTTACTTGCATTTCTCCCTTAAGATTCTAAGTTAGAAAAAAAAAAGATTCTAAGTTAGTTAAATTTGGCCTGAGTACTGAAGCTCCCCTGTCTGGAATGCCTTCCCTAGTTCCCTATTTTCCCCCCTTTGGTTTTATTAACTCATACTTGTCTTTCAGGTCTCAGTCAGGTGGTATCTTCTATGGGGGTATCTGATACCCATGACTTTGAGTTGTTTCTCTACAAATCTGTTTTCTGTTATTATACTGTAATTGCTTGCTTATTTGTCATTTTACCAGGTACTTGTTAGGGTGAAATGAAAGAAAGGTAAAGTGACTATCCTAAAAAAATGATGTGATTTGCACAGAATATAGGGGAATTAAGTAGTAATTTGGGGGTTTACCTAGTAGGAAAAGGAAAGACATATCTGATGGATGGAAGTTTTCTAAGTCAGGAAAGGCATACTGGGTAGGTTCTTTTACAGCTTCAGTGAAATATATCTTTTTGACATATAATTTTCATTTAATTAGTTTCTCTGTTTATTAGGACTTGTTGGATTGCAAGTAACAGATATAGTTTGAAATAATCTATGGAGAAAGAAGTTACTGGTTCAGTAACCATACAGGGTGGGGTAAAAGTAGATTTACAGTTGTGAGTACACAGTTTATTATTCTTTTATTATTTATCAATTGTATTATCTTTCAAATGAACAACTATAAACCTACTTTTGCCCCACCCTGTATGACAGAAGTTGTATGGGTAGAGATGGCCAATGACTGATTACGTGGGAACTTGCCCACAATGAAATTTTCTATACTTACAGTCTGTGCATACTGGCATCATTTCTCCTACTGCTAATATGCTTCTTTACATGGTGGGACCGTGTTTCTGGCAGCACAGGCTCAGTTACTTGTAGCCACATGTCAGTGGCTCTCTAGATAGATTTGGTCACATGCCCATCCCTTGACCAATTACTACAGCTGAAGGCAGGAAGTACTGTGCTTAGTTCAGCCTAGGTCATGTGATGTGCCCATGTATGTGACCTAGGGTCTCTTAGCAGAAAATAGACATCCAGTGGGGATGGAAGAAGAAGAAGGAGTTCTGGGAAGATAAAACATTTCCATTATGACCCTCCCCCCCAACCCCTTTTATAATTCTTAACCCAGTGAACTGCGTCCAGCATGGTTCACCACCCTCTGAGGGGGCAGAGTGGTGAAGGATTAAAACAGACAATAGAATATAGCTGGGGCTAGATAGGACACTGCTCTCGGATGGAGAGAGACTTTCACAGCCTGTAAGCCGAGTCTTTATTTTACTAGTATAGTCAGATCCCACGAGGCAAAGCAAGGGCGTGGTCAAGATGTTTACAGTGTCCTCACGAGTTTCGAATTTCCTTGATTACATGCACCTGAGAACTCAAGCTTTGTTTTGGCAGCACTTGCTGCACCTCCCCCAGCCTACATCACTCCACAGGTTTGGACCATAAGGTCAAGCTTACAACCGTAGCCTTTGGCTATGATTGTGCTGGGAGGGCTTTGCCCTCCAAGCTGGGACCTGCACGTGGCTTTGCCACGACAGGACCATGCCCTCATTAGTCTGAGGCTTGAACCTGTCCAAACGCTGTAGCCGGTCTCCACAAACCAGCCTTCTGATTATAAATTTATTTTCCTAGGTACTTTATTTGTGGGAAAGAGATGCCCTGTACTATGGATCAGAGTATTCCAGGTACTGAAATGATAAGTCCAATATTTTAAAGAACTAAATTGGCTTTTTGGTTTGTGCTGGCGTATAACAAATACTTGTTGAGCTGTTTGCAAATAAGACATCTATGAGATGCTAATGCTTATAGGCTAGTAGTCTAAAATAAATGCAAAGGTGCTAAGGTAAAGGTATATATATCTAGGGTGTAGTGGGAGCTGTGTCTAAGTCAGACTTTGGGATAATGGAAAACTTTCCTGAAGGGAAATTAATAGAGTGAAGAAATGTGGGTTGGGTGGGATAGAGTAGAACGACTTAGGGCAGAACCTGTGTAAGGCAAAGAGATGTGAAATAAGTAATATCTGTGGCATGGTACTTTGGCAACGGCTACATCACTTATCAACCTTTCACCTAATGATTGACTGACTTTCTCACTTAATAACTTTAGATTTCATTGCTAACTGTTCTTTTTTTTGTTTGTTAATCCTCACCTGAGGACATTTTTCCATTGGTTTTTAGGGAGAGTAGAAGAGAGAGGGAAAGACCGAGAGAAACATCGATGTGAAAGAAACACATCATCGATTGGTTGCCTCCTGAGATTGGTTGCCTCCTGCAAGAGCCCCGACTAGGGCCCTGGGCCTGGGAGGACCCTGCAACCAAGGCACGTGCCCTTGCCTGGGATCGAATCTGGGACCCTTTGGTCCACAGGCTGACACTCTATCCACTGAGCCAAACCGGCTAGGCTAGGGCAATAACTGTTGATTCTTGATCAGCTCTTTAGTTATGGGTTATAAAATGGTAATCAGTTTTGGATTTCATTGTTCTTTTTAATTAGTCTTTTTTAAAAAAATGTTTTTATCAATTTTTAGAGAGAGAGGAAGGGAGAGGGATAGAGAGATAGAAACATTGATGAGAGAGAAACATTATCTATCCATAGGCTGCCTTCTGCGCATCCTTTACTGGGGATTGAGCCAAGCCACCAACTGGGGCGTATGCCCTGACCAAGAATCGGACCAGCGATTTCTAGTTCTTGGGCCCATGCAACAATCGCTGAGCCATACCAGCCAGGCCATAGTCTTCTTTTATAGAGAGATTTCCCTCATTAAATAGGACTATTTTGTTACCTTGAAGTAACATTTTACTTAAAAGGCAGAATAAATGCTTAGTTTTTCCCCCTTATATAATCATTTCCAGACTGTAATAGTCACCTCCACTGAGGGCAATTCAGGTTGGTCTTTTTTCTTTTTCTTTACTTTTGTGGCTTTTGCTTTAGAATATCATATATATTTATATTATAAATATTATATACTTGTGGACCTCTGTTCATTTAAGATTATAGTTTGACATAAACTTGCCTTTATGTATTATAATTTTTATATATGTTTTTTATAGTAAGAAGACATTATTTTGATAATAGGAAGAGCTGTTTAGTTTGCAGATATCAACTGTGGCCTTAATGAGCACATTGATAGCATCCAGACAGACAGTAAGTATTATTAAAGTCATAGAGTATAACTTTACACATAGGTTTTCAAGCTTTTAACAGATTTTGTTACTAGAATTTCTCAAAGAGCTTTGGTTGCATAAACCATGTTGACCCAAAAATCCTTCAGAACTACATTGTGGTCCTGGTTTTAATATGTGTTTTAGTTTTTCTGTTATTAAAATGCCCCTTCTTCCTCCTTCATATTTTACATGTTGTTAGCCATTCACAAATATTATTATGCACCTGTATTTGTGCCTGGGACTAAGTGTCAGATTGGAGTTTATGTCATAATCCATGTCCTCAGGGAACATGGCCAATTTGGGAAATATTCTCATACAGATGAAAACTTGCCAGTAAAACCAACACTGTGAGGCTCTAAAATAACTAAGCAAACTAATACTGGCAGTAAGTAATGAAGGATTATAGAAAATGTTGAAGAATAATAGAGAAATACACCTTCCTACCATTCTTTGGCCAAAAGCTGTATATTGCTCAGCAACTAACTTTTTCCCCCCTTAAGAATGTGTTTCACATCTTTCTGGTTTTTATATACATCTGTATTTGTATTCCACCTTAAACTTTTTAATAGCTGCATAGTATTCCAGAAGGTATTTTTCCGTAATTTATTTAATCATGCTCTTCTCCATCAATATTTAGGTTGTTTTTAATGGTCTATAATAATAATAGTTCTTATGATAGATAGATACATTTTAGATTATTGGTTATCTTAATTTGGTTACATTTTTTATAAATACTCTTTTTCAGTGATATACTATTTATGCCTTGATGAGATTTACTATCTACGTTACCCTTTTCACGGCACACTTAAAATCATGTGATAGGTAACTTAATTTCCAGGAAAGATCGATTGTTTTGGTTCTTGGTAGCATTTATTTCTGAGGGAGTTGCTTTTGATCTTGTCTGGGATCAGGTCATGTTTGGATCTTGTAACTTCCCTATGTATTCCCTATAGAGCGATTTTTTTAAAATTCTTTATTGTTGAATGTTCTTATGGTTTTAAATAGCTAAAGTATTATTATATTTTATTGATGATAGTATCATTCTTCATAGGCCCATTCTTCCTAGATGGTTGATATTGAGTATTAAATAGAATCTTTCTTGGTCATTATAGAAATATATTATTTTTTAGATTTTTTTCCCAATAAAGGAGAGTTATTTAAAATTACTATTCCATATATATATATAACAGACTTATTCCTAAAATGATACGGTAAATCCTTTTAGTGTGTGTTGATGATAGAAAGGTTCTTTTTTTAGTGGAAAGTTTTTTTTAAAGTTTTATTTATTGGTATATCTAATGACATTGCTGGACCACTGTTAGAGTTTGTAGACCACTCTACTGCTAATTATAGATTTTTTTTTGTTAGCCATGAATTTCTCTTTTTATGGTTAAAAGAACATGTCCTTATCTGTTAAAAAGCTCCCAACAAACTAGGGGTGATAAAACCTCTGCTTACTGTGCTATAACATTTTGATGATGATCAGTAAGCAAGTAAGTATTGGTTAGGTTCTCTGTCAGGTTAAAATTTAATTACAGAGGTGGAAGAGCTTGGGGAATGTGTACATGAAATGTCTATGTTCATTGTGTCACTGTTAATAAAAATATATATTGTTGGTTTTTAAGTTCTTCATTTGAGCCAGTCCTTTTGTATTTCTCTGTAATATATCACACTTTACTTAACCATCCTTTTTCCCCGTATCCTTTTAGCACACTCTCAATTTAGGTCAGGTATAATACATGCGAAGAAACTACACAAGCTTGTTTAAACTAATGTATCAATAAGACTTTCTTTTTGAAAAAGGAAAGATATATAAGGTCAGGTAATAAAAGAGTTAAACATAAACATGACTTAAGTGAATAAATGGGTTTGAAATAAACCAGATATATAAAGTAAAATTGGTAATTGGAAGGTAATGTCAGCTATGTATGTTTTTATACAGATTAGTTTCTTCAGCATACTAAATATTGGTTGGAACTCAAACTATCTCACATATAGTAGATACAAAGAAAAAAGGGGGTGGGAGGGATATATAGTTTCTGAGCTGGAGGTAGTATAGAGGGAAGTCCAAGATTCAGCTTTAATTGATAATAGTGATTGTTTTTTTCCTGATTATTAAAGAATGTATACATAATAGATTATTTACAAAATATAAAAGTAGTACATAAAAATATAGTGTGTTAAAAATAGTTACTTTTAATCACATTATCCACATATTTTCTTTCTAGTCTAGTATTACAGTCTAATCCAATCCCATTTGGGTGTCTGTATAAATTACATAGAGTTTTGTGTCTTGCTTTGTTTTGTAGCACTTTATAAAACTCCAATTAGATAATATCTAAAATATTTAATTATTACTTTTTAATTACTTATTTTCAATTAAATCATTATGGTTGAAAGTATTACATATGTCCTCTTTTCCCCCCATTTATCCCTTCTAGCCTGCCCCCACCCCCTGCCCCAGACCTTCACCACCCTATTGTCTGTGTCCATGGGTTATACATGTATACCCCATGTATAGATATAGATATAATAGATACAGCTATATATGCATACAAGTTCTTTGGTTGATTACTTCTGGAATAGAACCATGACCTTCTGGTTCATAGGTCGATGATCAACCATTGAACTATGCCTGCCAGGTGGGATAGGCAAAGATTTCTTAGGATAGTATGAGTATAAGTGACAAAAGAAAACAAATAGATAAATTCATCAAGATAAAAATTATTTGTGCTTCAAAGAACACCATCAAGAAAGTATAACGACAACTCACAGATGGAAGAAATTATTTGATACGGGAGATGTATGCAGAATGTATAAATAACTGTTGCAGCTCAGTTATATAGATGTCAACCTTAAATTTGAAAATGGGCAAAGGGTCTAAATAGGCATTCCTTCAAATGTCAGTAAGCACATGTAGTGATTGTCAACAACAGTTATTAGGGAAATACAAGTCAAAACCACAAGGATAGCATTAGGGTAGCCATAATAAAAAAAGATGGACAATAACATATGTTTGGTGAGGATACAGAGAAATGGGAGCCTGCATTCATTGTTGGAACTTGAAAATGGTGCAGCCTCTTTGAAAAACAGTCTGGCAGTTCCTTAGAAGATTCAACATAGAGTTACTGTATGACCTGAATATATTTTGAATTTAGAACTGGCAAGATTTGCTGAATGATAAGGCAGAAAGTATGAGGGAAAGA